TGACAGGACAGTGATCATTGCCCAAGGGTTAGGTTTGCGGTGCTTATGTGCAGGTGCAAGGTCAGGTGCGTCTATGGGCGCTCTGAACTCACCGTCCCATCAGAGAGAGACTCCGACATGGCCGAGGTGGGTCCCGTGTGCCACCCGATTTCCACGGGGCAGCATGTCTCAAACTTTTATTGCACGTGGATCACCTGGGAGTCTTGTTAAAGTGCAGGTGCCGATCCAGTGGGGGCCTGAGACGCTGCATTTCTTATGAATTCCCAAGTGATGCTGAGCTGCTGGTCCAAGGACCACACTTGGAGCAGTGAGGCCCTGGCTGGAGGGCTCCTGACCTCACAGCCAGCTCCACCATTAAGAGGGAAGAAAGAGGGAGACAGACAGCTGAGGATGTGGTGACAAGGAGGTTGGAGCTCGGGTTGGGGCGGGGAGAAGGGGACTAAAGGCCACGAGGAACAAGCATCTTCCCTGCAGTGAAGGGATGTGTCCAGACTAGCTTTAATGCCGAGCAAGGCAGCAAGACTCGATGCTGTGCGTGTTTCCCGTTTGCCTTTCCAAGACACCCCCTTGGGGCCGAAATGCCCTGGAATGTGAAGGAAGAGCGAGAGCAGGGAAGGACGCATCGGTGGCCTTCTACGCGATTAACTGAGTTGATGAACCTTGGATCCCTGTAGAGTTGGAGAAAGTGGGGCCCAGGGCCAGAACGCAGCCCGTCTGTCTTTTACGACTTTGTCTTATTATCTTTGCAACAAGGCTCTGTTATTAGCTCACAGTTTCCTGCCAAGTCGATGAAATCTCCATACAGTTTCCTACAAAATAGAGGGTAAGGGAGACTTTATCAGGCCTACACACCCCTTCCTCGTCCGGGGACCCTGCATGTTCCAAGACACTGTTCATTTTCTCTTCAGCTGAAAAATATGTATTTATTTGGCTGTTTTGCTTTGCAGTTCTGGAGGCTGGCATTTTCCATTTCAGTGATCTCCGTGTTGAACCACACTTGTAATTACTGCCGTCTTTTATTCTGTGTTTTTGGAGGACCATCCCATTCAAACTGCGAGAAGACAAAAGCAGCTCTCTTTCCAGGGGGTGAAAACAATAGCGTCAAGTCTTCACGTAAACGTCAACAAACATGGAAACACAGAATTGGAAGGGGGAGTGAAAATGCCAGCAAGAGGAGGAACGGGAATCAAACTAAATATTTCCACCGGTCTTCTTCAGAATTCGAAGAAAGAATAAAGTTGACACGCCTGCCGCATTTGGGGGTGAGTCTTATTTCTAAGGTACTTTTCCTTACAAAGCCAAAGCTCTCAACTGTTTTTTATTGTTGTCGTTGTCGCCTATTTCCTACGTCTCGGCCTACTGATGTTGGCTGGCCAGTCAAGGTCACAGAGGGCAAGGTGCCTCTCCAGCTCTCAGATGGCTTTCCCCGCCTCCCCGCGACCCCTGCTCCAGCCTGAGCCATCTTCTGTGTCACAGGGCCTCCCGCAGGCTTTCCATCCGCCTGGAATGCGCTCCGGTCCTTGTCTGGCCCATTGCGGTCATTCTTCACCTCATTTCTGCATGACCTTCCTGGTCCACTCTCGGATTTACATCGGTCCCCGGGTCCCACACTCTTGGAGCATCCTGAACCTCTCACAATCATAACCCGTATTTGTGTAATAATCCGTCTCCCCACAAGGGTGTCAGGCTCACAAGGCCAGCAACAGTACTTACTGCGTCCTTGCTGTATCCAGGACACTTTGCTAGGCTGCAGCACTTCGCTGAGTGACCAGTTCTCCCAATTGTCAGCTAACCAAAAGCTTCTCTAGAAATGATTTGAAAAGTGTGTAGCGATTTATGTTTCAGCGAGGTTAGCAAAAACTCAGGCATTACAATGACAGTGTCTCATGTAATTTCGGTTTGGGGTTCCATGCATGTTGGCAGGGTCAAAGGGTCTTTAGAAATATTACAGTGAGTTTGGGGTTCTATGCATGTTGGCAGGAAGGGTTTTTAGAAATATTACAGTGAGTTTCTGCCTTTCACCTTCCAAGTTAGTCAGGCCATCCTTCTTGTCTTTCGGTTATTCTTGCTTGTCTTGATCCAGGAGTTGTTTTCGTGCATGGAAGGGAGAGAAACACAGTTAATTTTCTGTATAGTTTGCAACAAAAGGTAAAACAAAAAAACATACTTCACATCACAGACGCCTGAGTACTTTTCAGGATGACAAGCAAATGTGCTGTGCGTCCATTACAATTTTCAGTGGCACCATACGAATCATGAATCATAATCTAAAAGACACAATTGAGTCACCTCAATTTGGTCGCTATTTGCAGAAAGAATCCAGATAATTTCCCTTGCAGGGTGAAAGGAAAATGTGTCTTATAATTCAGATGCCTAAGTATTTCTCAGGTGCTCAGCATCCTACGTGCAGATGGGCTGGCTTTCCCCACATGCAAGTGAAGTCCAGGATTTGCGGACATGATTGTGAAGGACAATGGACAAACCGAAGCATTCCCCTGTGTGCAGGGGCTGAGCTTTTGGGGGGGCATCTCAGGTGAGCAGAATCCTGTGTGAAAACATTCCTGCATAGCTCCTGTAATTCCACTACTTCCTGTCCTGCAAAAGACAGCAGATCGTTAAGTAGAGCACGGAGCGGCACGCTGAAAGGGGCAGACGCATCTACCGTTCAGAAAATCCTAACCCTTTGGATGAAAAAGACCTAAAAGTCAGAGGACGCGGCAGCTGTCATGGCAAAGAATACGTTAGGCAAGACGATTAGCTGTAAATGTTGGATAGCGCACCGAAAATAATTTTTGGATAATCAGCAGTTTGGGGTATTGGTCATTGGATGTATCGGTAAATTCATGATTTGCAATTTAGGAAGAACTGGTTTTGGTGATCGCCTTAGTGCTGTTTAAAAACGGTGCTGGCACGTAGGAGATTTCAGTAAATATTTGTCGAGTGAGTGAACAAACAGCGCCATATGCTCAGCACTGCGTTCGCAGACACTCACGGGCCATTCTGGACCCCTGCGTTCCCGGCAGGACAGGGCTTGGCCCTCCGGTGTTCTCAGCCCCGTGGATCTGAGGGCCTTGTGTGCTCCAGGACTTGTTTTCAGAATGATGGGTCACAAGGTCCACCCAGTAATTCAAACCTCTGAAAATAATAACATCAACAACGAACAGCCCTGTTCCAATCTGGAGCTAAGAAATCCTAGCTGAAGAAAAATCGAATTTCATTTTTCCTGGCCGAGTTTACTTTATTCCGTTTTGATTGTCTTGGATAAATTTGTTAGAATTTTAGACAAGCATTCAAAGGGGAGAAATTGGAACACGCCTTAACCAATGATTATATACCTTGTTGAGCAGAGCAAAAGACTAAGTGCAGAGGAGACGCAAGAGATCTTTAAAATGAGATTTCAGTTCTAAAGGGCTTTCTGCTTCATCAGCGGAGACAAAGGGGATGCACGTGAAACACGGTGTCAGAAGCAACACGGTTTTTAGGTTTCTAAATTCTAAGTCTTTGGCTCCTCCCTCCTTACTGCTTTATGTTCAGTTTCAGGGTGTAGGAGACGCAGCTCTCTGCACCGGCCCATCCGCTCATCTGTGCAGTGTTGTCCGGCTTCGCTTCCACTGGCAAGGGCTGCCGGAGTAGGGCGTGATGTCAGGCATTCGACCCTGGCCTCCCAGAGGTCACGCAGAGTGCTCGTGGTTAAGAGGTAGGCATTTAAATAGGCACCGTTTTATGCGGATTAAAGAGAGGGTATTAAAAGCAATCCTCCCAGAGTCTCTGCCCAGGGTCAGGGAAGTGCCACAGACTGAACCGTTTGATGTTGGCATCGAACTTGACTTCAGTACATCTGGCATCTAGATTGGGCTCGGCTGCCTATCAGCCATGTGGCTGTGGGTGAGTCCCATCACTTTGCTGAGCCTCGGCTTCCTCATCTGTGAGTGGAGGTGATTACTAACACCTGCCTTAGTGTTGGCCCGTGTCCCAGCAGGAACCCGACGGCCCACTCCAAGACAGAAGAGGTTCTTCTGTAGATATTTACTTCTGTTCTCACAGGGAGTAGCCAAGAGAATTGTCAAGACACCGCACAAAAAAGGAGAAAGACAGAGAAGCAGACAGCACGTTACTGAGTAGAGGTGGGACTTTGGGGCGTCCAGGCCCCAAAGAGAGCCAGCTTTTCAGGAGCAGCCTTTGCAGCAGTGGGGAGGCCAGGTGGCCTCTGGGGGGCTCGTGAGCTCCGCGACCTGGTGCCCCACCCGTTGCTTACTGCCGCTTGTCTTCTGATTTATAAATGGTGAAGGTTGTCGTGGAAATAAATAAAATAAAAACACACAAAGAATTTAGTTTAGCACAGCACCTGGCACTTCATAATTATCCATGACTGTTACTTCTGTGGCCTTGCTGGTGTGCAGTAAGATGACTGAGCAGTGAGTGACCCGCTCCCCCTCAGCCCCCCACCTCCCAAGACAGTGAGCCTGAGCCGGGGCACAGAGGCAGCTGTGGAAGGAGCACTTAGGGAGGCTTAGGTCTTGGGTGTAGCAGAGCCACCGATGTGGACAAGGTCATCCGCAGCCCAGATTCAATTTACTTCTCTGAAAACTAAGAGGTTGGGGCAGATGGTTACCATGGGAACATTCAACTCAAATGCTATTGGTTCAAGGATTTAGAGGGTAATAAAAGTTTGTCATTCTCTCAAGACCGTCTGGCCCTTACCTGTCTGACCTGTTTATGAGGCTTCCTCAGCTGGGACCTGCTGGCTCTCTGCCTCACACATCGGGGAGCAGCAGCTGCAGGGAACCAGCAGCAGGAAAGAGAGCTTAGAAGACCCTCACTCCTCCCCCATTGTGATGTACCGGCTTGATTCTATGACAGCAGCGGGTACCGGGCACTCCCCAATGTACTGTCCCGGTAGAGGCTGAGAACTAAAGATCAGGAACGAGGGGGAGGAGTGGCTTACCCGGCAATGGAGCGATGAAGGATCCAGCTTCATCCGCCCCCAGTTCCCACAGAAAATGGCCAAAGGGAGACGCTTCAACCCGCCCTTAGACAAGGACGGAAGATGGGTAAGAAAGATGGCGCCCTCTCTTACCTGTCTCAGGCCACGTGGGCGTGGTCAGGGGCATAGACCTGGGTCCAGATCCCGCCCCTGCCACTTGCTGCGGCTCGATAAATCACTTCACCCAGCCTCAGTTCCTTCATCTTAGATGGGAATCTCCCGGCATCCTGGGCAGGAGTAGATGAGAGAGCGTGTGCGGAACCGTCGGCACGCCGGCACCTGTGCGCGTCCGCTAGACAGTAACTGCTGCCTGCCCTGCTCCTCCTTCTTTCCAGAGCATCTCTCCTCTAATATCCTATGTAATTCCTTACGTTATGTGTATTGCTTGTCCCCCTCTGCAAGAATATGAACTTTATGGCCGGGGGTAAGATCCGTGTCTTTTTTTTTCACTGATTATATCCCGAGTGCCTAGAATAGGATCTGGTCCACCAGACGTTCTCAAAAAATACTTATATTGAAGGAATTAATATTGTAAGAGAAACCTCTGAACAAATTCCTACTGGCCCACAATCCGACCCTCTTGGCCCCACCAGGCTGTGAAGTGGGAAGAGTCCAGAAATGTATCATTTCCCCATCTTGATCATTTGAAAACTTTACCTTTTCAGCTTCATACTCTTCCTCAGACCCCTCTCTCATATCGCAAAGCCTGGTGGGATTATCACTGTTTGCCGTCTTCAAGAAACGTTTGCTGTACCCGTAAGTGTGAGGTCCTAGCCTTGTCGCTGTGTGCATGTGTGTATATACGTGTATGTGTATATATATATACACACACATACACACACACACACACACACATATATATATATGTATTCTTTCTTATCCATCCTACTTCAGTCTACAAAGATTTAATGTATGGAAAATATTCACAATAAAATAGGAAAGTATAAATAAAATTAAAATTCAGAACCAGTTTAAATATACTTTAGAATAAGAGGCTGAGACTGGGAAAAAAAAAATATATATATATATAGGCCATATGGCCTGCATGGTAGCATTTAGGCATCAAATTTGACTCTGAGTTCCCTGGCAGCCAAAGTAAAATAGGAAATAGTGTGAACTATGGAACACTAATTAATTATGAAAAGAAAAACATAAGTTTCTCAGACTAGATAGCTTCGCCTCTTTCTAAAACCTACAGTATCAGTTAGGATTGTGTTCGACTGAGTATTATGAAACACTGACTACACTGTCTTAACCAAATAGGGGTTCGTATTTCTCAAGTAACAATAAACCCAGAAGTAGGCAGTTCAGGGCTGGTACCTGTGTCCTAGGGTGTCATTGGAGGCCCAAGGGCTTTTCAGCCTTCTGTTCTGACATTCTTCATGTGGGGCTCTTCAACTCAGGTAGGAAAATGAGGGGAAGGTCGAAAGAAGAACAGACAGGAGGCACCTGTCAGCCAGGTCGGCCCCTTTTTGTGGGGAAAACAAAAGCTTTCCTAGGAGCTGTGCCCCGCAAACTTCTGCTTCATCTCATGGAGTCACGTGGCCAATTTAGCTGCAAAGGAGTTTGGGGAAGATTTTTTAACCAGCCGCACTGCCACCCCAAACAAAGTCAGGGTTCTGTACGAGGGAGCATGGAGAATGAACGTTTCCTCCCCTATTGCGACCCCAGGAATGTGCCCTGGGCCGGTTTTAGCTGGAGAGACACTGTCTCCCAAAGTCTGACTTCAGCCTCTCTGCTGCCAGCACCTAAGCAGAAAAAGAATAGTACTGATCTTAAAGTTTGCCAGAGTAACTTGTGGGCGAGTTGGAAAGTCAAAGAAATGGTTGGCTTTGAGTCAGCCACAGCCCATGTGGGAGGGCAGTAATGGCCACATTAGAAGTGACAGTCATTTTGCAGTTGACCTTGCTCGTTGTGATCTGGCTGTTGCAGGGTAGCAAAGGCTTTTCCACACACTTTCGCCTTCTTATTTAATATTTCAGTCACTGAGTGATTGAACGCAGCAAAAATTTCACCGCCAACTAGTTAAAAAGCTATATTTCATGGTTACAATATCACAGAAGGGTTTATTTCACAGCTATCATGGTATAGCCACTAAATATATATTTTGAGTGAAATTAAAATGCTAGAGCCATTTTTTTTTTACAGTGATTTAGTCCATGGACTTGCAGAATACAAATGAACTCAAGTCAGGTGTCGTTTAGCTGGTGAGAGGACTCATTCCCGGTGTTAGAACGGCTCCTGCACCCGCCCCACCCCCGCCTGACACTCCACAACTTCCCTGTTGACGCTGGGAGCCTGGAGGCAGGGGAAGGGGAAGGTTCTGAGTCTGGACGCCCTTTCTATTATTTATATTTACTTTAAAAATAATTGTTTAAAACGTTAGAGATATGTACGTTGGCTTTGAGAAATTTCTGGGATATATTGTTAAGTGAGAAAAGCAAGGCACAAAATAATATGTATCACGTGGTCCAATTTTTGTAAAGCAGTGTGAGTTGCCTCTGCAGGTACAGGTGTTGATATATGCTCATGTCGTTACCTGGAGTGGCAGTGGGGGGTGACAGGAAGGGGAAGGAGAAAGTAACTAAAAGTGACTGTTACATAAAAAAGTATTTATAATTTTTAGAAATCAAATTTATAATATGATCCCATGTGTGCAAAATTATGCATATATACGCATGTCCATTCATATAGGGACGAATGGAAAAGACAGTCACCGAAGAGTTAAAGGGAATGTTACTTCCTTCCTTATGTTTTTCTTTATTGTTGGAATTTTTTTAAAACCATGAGTACGTATTACAACTCTAATCAGAAACAAATGTTCTCATGTTCGTTGTGGAAAAAGTCAATGTCGTAGACGCACTTAAACCTTTAAACGGTGGGAGTGATCGTGGAAAGGAAGTCTTCCTCCTCCCCGCCTCTGCCGCTCCGAGGGGACCCTGTCGTCACTCTCCTGCACATGTGCCGGGGGCCTGGGTGTACGGTGGCCTGCGGCTTGTGCGGTTGTGTCATGGCCTGACCCAGTGCTTCTCCTCACCCCACAGGCGGCCGTCCCAGTGTTTACCGGGAGGCCTTCTGCTCCGACACGTCGTGCAGATTGCGTGTTGTCATTTTGTGCACATGTTATTTATCTACAGAAATGGCGTTAGCTTATAGATCCTGTTCCGTTTCTTCTTTTTTTCCACTCAGCACTGTGTTTAAAAGATTTCTCCGTTGCCCGTGTCATCCAGCCCACGCTTCTCACCACCTGAGAAGGCTCCGCCGAGTATACGCTGTGCGTGACATAATCCCCCACCTTTTTACATAGCAGTTATTGAGCACCGAGTGCATGCATTTTCTCTTCTAATCACATCTACCCTATCAAGTAGGTGTTATTATTCCCCTTTTACGGATAAAGAAACTGGGGCTTGGAGAGTGAAGTCCCTTGCGCGAGGCTCACCTCACAGGGGAGAAAGCTGGGAGCGGACTTGGGACTGAACGTACAGTCCGTGACTCCCCCATCCCATCACCAAGAGCTGGGGTCTCGTCTTTCGTTTTTTTTTTTTCCTCGGTTTCCACTCATATTCCACTCCTAGAGACCCCTACTTCAAAACCCGCTCTGTTGGGGTGGCTTTTAAGAGACGCTATTTAAAAAAAATTGGGGTGAGCGTCCGTGGCCATCAAGTATCTCTCGCTTCTCCCTTCAAGAATGAAAGACTCATTCTCCTAGAGGCTGAGAGTCTGACCCCTGGTGGTCGGTCCACCCCAAAGAGACTGGCCTGCCCGAGGTCACCCCTCTTCCTGGGCAGCCCACATGCAGTGACTGACCAGTGAGGGTGCTTAACTCAGGCAGCCCAAGTCATCCTCACCCCAAGTCAAGACGACTCTGAGAGGCCATCCCGTGTCCAGAGCTCTCTGCGGGGTTGGTTGAGGTCCCTTTATTGGGACCCCCTCTCTCTGCCCACTCCCGTTTCCTTCCCCGCTTTCAGAGGGAGAGACCCCTCTTCCCCGCTAAGAATCTTCCCTCTCTTATCACCCTGCATTCTCAGGAAAGAGTCAGCTGAGACCCTTCACCCCTCAGTGTCCCGGTGGCTTGGGGTCCACCTCATACCTGCAGGAGGTCGGCTCACCCCTGCTGACATGGGCTGGGTCTTTGGCCCCAAGTTCGGGGAGCTCACTGGTCAGAAAGAAGATCTGCAATGGCACATCGTCTTCTCTTCTGGGAGTCCAGCAGCTCCCTCGCCCCGGGCCACACCCTCCTCCCCAGGCCACAGAAGTCCTGCCAGGCTCCAGCACAGCGGGGTGGCCCCGGGAACTTGAAAAAAACCGGCAGGGATGGCCTCAGGCCATCACAATATTTTTTTGTCTTGGAAAGAATACTTAAAAATTATGCCATTTTCATTGCATGCCAGAAGCACCCAAATTGCGTTTTAATCACTTTACGGAGGACGCCCTGATGCTCGGCCTGGAGGCTCAGATGAGTCTGGTTTTAATCAAGGCGTTTGCTGTTCTCCTAGTTTCCCCACATCGGACTGACGCAGAGGGCCCCGGAATCCATCACGAGAGCTGCGCTAAGAGAGCCCCACAGCCCGCAGTTCTCTGAGCAAGTGCAGGAGAAGCTCCCGGCCATCTACAAGGTCCGGGAGAAGGTGAGTCCAGGCCACGGCCACGAGTGCCCACGGCTCCCCAAGGGGGGCGGGCAGCACTGGCGTTTGGGGCCGGGTAACTCCCTTGGAAGGGACTGCCCATTTACCCTGCCTGGATCGCCACCTGACACCTCGGTTACTGCGACACCCTCGGTTCTCTCTGGAAGGGTCCTGACCCAGACGATCATGTCAGGCTCATCTATGCACAAGAAGCAGCAACGTTGGTTACAGCAAACGGTTCATTAACGGCAAGCTCCGCCTCCCAGGCCGACCTATGCGCAGCTTCGGGGACCTGAGAAGAAGCAGGCGTTGACTTCACACTTGGCCGACTCACCTGCCCCTCGGGCCAGAGCTCCAGTCCCCTAGGGTCCTTACCGGCCAGATGAGGAAGTTGGCCTAGATGGCCTCAAAATTCCTTCCCAGCTTTTACTTCCATGAGCCTGTAAACTTTTCCTTCCTTGCCTCCAAAGAAGGTGTTTTGAAAGAGAAATTTTACGATTTCTAGCAAGTTGGAAATAAGGTTGAGTTTCACGGCCTTGGACTGACTGGCACAACTCTGACCTTGCCCCGCTGTGCTGTTCACCAGTCTCCAGTGCGGGTGTAACTTACTCAGAGGCCACTTGGCTCATCCGTCTGCTTTCCAGGCTGGCTCTGACGACACGCCAGGGTTCTGATGTGTGCCTTTCTGCGTTTCCCTGTCCTCTCTTCCAGCAAGCAGCCAACAACAGCTTCCCCTTCTCCGTACATGACAATCGGCACAGCTTTCAGAATTCTGGATACTTCTTCGACTCCGTGAGTACTTCTCTCCAAATTACGAATCAAATGGGGAGAGAGGTTGGGGCCCTTGATTTTCTGAGACGTGTCGAAGATAGAGAATCCCCTCAAAACTGGAACAAAGTCAAAATTAAAGCCTCGTGACAGGTTACAGAAAAAATGCACAAAGCTTTCAAAGTTCCACACAACTTTCAAGGTCTGCAGCAGCCTCCCGATGAGGTTTTTGTGCACTTCATGCTTTTCAAAGGGCCCCCCTGTAAATTGTCTCATTAGCGAGCTTTCCTGGGCAGATGTCGTGGGAAAGAGGGATTGCCTGTGTGTCTCTGGGTGGCAGTCAGGACCCACAAGGAGGGGTCAGAGGGATGGGGAGCTCGCTTAATATAAAGAAGGACTTCCTAAGAACTGGAGTTGTCTTTTCTCTAGAGGCAGTAAGTTCCCCGTCCCTGGAGAAAATAAAGTCTGATTGCACTTGGTGGTGGTTTAACACAGCACCGTGCTATGGAAATATATTCCAATCCATACATGTAATTTAAAAATTTCTAGTGACCATATTAAGAAGAAACAGATGAGATGAATTTTTATATTTTTTATTTAATCCAATAATTCTCCAAATGATCAATTCAACATATAATCAATTAAAAATTATTAATGAGATATTTTACATTCCCCAAACTAAGTCTTTAAATCCAGTTCATATTTTACATTTAGGGCGCCTCTGAATTTGGAAGATCCACACTTCACGTGCTTACTAGCACATATGGCTAGGGGATATCAAACTGGACAGGAGAGACTTAGCATGTCCTAGGTAGAGGTCACTTAGGTCCTTAGGTGACCTCTGAAAATCTCTACCAAACCTGAGAGTCCATGATGATGATGATGATGATGATGATGTCAGTAGTACCCATTATCTGCGACGCATATGCTGTATGTTATGGCCATACGTGGTATTTATTCCTATATGTTAATTACTCTTATCATCCCCAATTTAGAAACGAAGAACCAGTGAAGTTAAACAATTTGCCCAAAGCTACCCTCTCTTCTAGGATACAATCCCTAAGCTAGCTGACGTGATTTAATTTAGAAACTCTGGTTTGTCTCTGCAGTGTTGAATACAGAACCAGAATATCCACTCTGCCTGCTTTTCTAAATAGAAGGCTTAAAATTATTTTCTCAACTACCGAAGTAACATATGTCCTTTCAATTTTTCAAATAATACAGAATTATATAAAATTAAAAATAAAATTTGCACCCTTGTTTTTCCTCATCACAATCTCACCTTGATGATTCACCGATAATGGTTTGATGGGTAAAGTGTGACACTTTTTTTTTTGCAATTTACATGCAAACATACACACATAAGTGTATATCTTGTTAATAATACAAACAGGATTAAACCCTATATATTTTATCAGAAATATTTTATCAGAAATAATCTCATAGAAAGCATTGGAAGCTTTCCAACTTTCTTCTACATTCTGGAATAATTTATATAGTGTGTGATTTCCAGTTTACAAAGATTAGATAGCATTTACTATAAAACTATTTGGGTTTGATTTATTTTTAGAATAAGTTTTTTTACTACCTTTTTATTTTCTCTTTTGATTATTAACCTATTCAAACTTTCTGTCTCTTCCTGAGTAGATTTTCCTGATATGTGTTTGCCTAAAATTTACCTATTTCACTTCATATTTATTAGTATAAGATTTTTTTTAAAATACTCTCTTTTTGTTGTTTTTCTTTTTTTTTCCAGTCGAATGCTCAGGTCATATCCTTGTGACTGTTTTTGTTAATAAATTTATTGAAACTATGAATATGCCTCATATTATTACTTTGGCTACATCCCAAAGGCTTTTCTAACTAGGGTCTCATTATTATTTGCTTCCAAAATAGTCTATGATTTAATTTTTGATTTATTCTTTAACTAAAAATACTTTAGAAGAATGTTTTGAATTTTCTATAAGGTTAGAATTTTTAAAAATTGTCCTTTTGTTGCAAATATCTAGTTCTATGGGTTATAGTAAGTTTTATAAAATATAATCTGGTTTCTACTTCTGAATTATAAAGATTATCCTTGTTATATTATATGTGATTCATTTTAACAAGTGTTTCATGGATGCTAAGAAAGAATATATATTCCTCATCTGTTGGTTACAAAGTTCTTTATCTTTATTAATTCTGTTAATTGTTATTTAAATCTTTCATATACTTTTCTTGATATTTGTCTTGATCTGTCAATTTCTCCTTCTAAGATTATTCTTGAGTTTCTAAATATTTTTGCCTTATATGATTTAATACCATATCTTTCTGCATAAAAATTTATTATTGTTTTATTTTCTTGATGACTTTTATTATTTATCAATGTGAAGTATTCCTCTATATGCTTTAATGCATGTAGCCATTACTTCTACATTGTAATATTAGTATTGCCACTATTAATGTCTTTCCGCTAACATTTGTTCTTTTTATTATGGTCCATTTTTTTGTCCTTATAGTTTGTAGTCATTTCATTTGGGGTATGTGTTTTTTTATTATTATTATTAGAAATCGAATAGAGCATGGTTTAAAAAAATCCAAGAGTCATTGTTTCTTTAAATGAGAATTTAACCCATTCATATTATTATGATAATTTGTTTTCGGTTTTATTTTTGCCATCTAATTTCATGTTTCCTATTTATCATGTTTGTATGTTGCCCCCTCCCCAACTCTGCTAGATTGAATTTATTTGCTCACTTTGACTTCTATTGATAATCTACTAGTGGCTTCTCTTAAGTATAAATGTTTAAGAAATAAATTAACACTATATTATTCTGCATATAAAAATTAGTATCTACAGCTTTCCCCAAGAATAAGTCAAATCCTTGAGAGTACTTACCTCTGTCACTTCCTTTTCTAGAGGCTCTTGTCTTGGTGGCCCAGGTTGTCCTCTCCCAACTCGTGGAGGTACCGTTCTCCTGGGATAATGTTAAGTGGCCTTGAGTTCCCCAGTCAGTTTGGAATCCTGAAATTTCAGTTCCAGATTGGCCTCTCTCTGTCTGTCTGTCTGTCTGTCTGTCTGTCTGTCTCTCTCTCTCTCTCTCTCTCTATCTCTCTCTCTCTCTCTCCTTAGTATCTTGCTACCTTCCTCCTCCTATCCTTCCTTTTTCCATTCTTGTGGATTATTTTAAGTTTTAACATATTTCATAGTAACATTATCAGCAAATATTTAGACTTACAAGCTTTACTTGTGACTTTCCTGTGGCTCTTTCCCCTATTCATTTCATCCCTTATTTTTCTTTATTTATTTTGTTTCGGGAGTATCTGCAAGTAGTATTTCAGGAAGGTGCTTGGGCAGTGTGACCAGCATCTTCCCTTTGTCCTTCTAGAGCC